CGAAGTTTTGGAACTATTTTGCTTAGCGTAGGTAGCTGACTAATTGTGTTCACATCATAGTAAATCTGAATTTGTCGTTATTACATTGGGGGCGCATTGCGCATGCGCCCCCAAAAACGAATACATTATGTAATTCTAAATTGAGAATTTCCATTTCGTGTTTGCAATCCTTATTAATTTCGAGGTATTTTGTTCACGATAAACCTGTTGTTTAACACTGATGAAAATAATTTAGCCAAAACAGTCCGACATGTATATATTCCACTACTCGACAGTCAGATTTATTTGTGTACTACGCTCTGGAGTATTCGGTAATCGACATAGCTAAAAATAGCATTTTCATTGGTTAAAATGATATTCATGATAATCCGAAGCTTTACGGAAATAGCCGAACATTTTTTATTGGGTAAAAAAGATATTCATCCGCGAAATTTGTGATTGTAACCTCATATTTCTATTGACTAATCTAAACTTTTAATGCACTGTAATTCGTTAAATGCCTACGTTAAATTTTTTTCTTTCTTTTAAATTGCTGGTTTTTAAGCAGTTTTGAGTGAGAACTACTTTGCGTTGTTAGGACTGTTAGGAAATTTTGTGTTAGACCGTGGATGTTAGCTATGTATTTACTGATCTTACGATCAGAAAATACAACAAGCACGTGTATCTTACATTTAGTTTCTTGAATTGGAGATTGGAGATTTTCTTTCACGCATGTTGTATCTGTACTTCTGTTACATTCATCAGTGACAGCGATGTCTTCAACCTTTGCACCTCTTTTGTTATCTAAACTCGGAAATTATATGTGTAAATATAAAACTGATATAAGCCTACAAAGTCATAGAATGTTTTGACACAAATTGCGACAATAGAGAACGATAAAATCATTTATGTAAAAGAATCGTATATGTATAAATATGTTGCGTTTGAAGTTCTCAAGATTCATTCTTTCTGTTATCGTATTGTAACTTTCTGATACGAAATAATTCACCTTGATAGAGATTTTGTTTCTTTAAAATATGTGCTGGAAATGGGCAATTGGCAATTGTTCGCTAGATACGACTTTATTTTGGAAAAATGTTACACATAAGGCGAAAACAAATATTATTCAGGGAATGTCTTCCAGCATTTAAAACAATATGGTTAAAGGAAAATCATCAAAATATCATCGTCTCCCATGATTTTCTGCAAAACCCTTTAACTTAAGTTTGTGTTTAATATATGAATTCTTACCTTTCGTTTCAAATACCCGTATATCATGTTCGTGTTTCAAACAAGTTTTATTCAAAACTAGATCAGGCATATCTGTTCAAATAGAATAATAGATGAATTTTATCGAGATTCCGTCCAGCGATATTTTCAGTGCCATGCACAAACAGTGAATGTGCCAACAGAACGGAAACCTTTTATAAATTATTTTACCGATCATTTTTGTATGTAAAATGTTGTTACAGTTACGTTCTATGTAAGTTGGTCCTTTATTTTCAAATGTCGAACATATATACGAGATTCCGCACCGGAAAGAAATATTAACATATTACCTTTGTCGATGCCAACTATCACTTTGTTTCGATTTTGACTCTTCTCATTCCGCAGGTCTTCGTAAGACATCATCTGTACCTAGGATTAATATGCTAGAGTTTATCTTTCCGAATTGATTTAAAAGGACAAACATCTAGAACAATTGTTCAAACATAATATTGTATTGCTTACATAAATTTAAGCAACACACTTTTACTTAAATGAACATCTAAAAGCAAGACAAAAAATAGATAGTATTTATCTAATACCTTTAACTTAATTTACATATTCAAAACGCCGAGTAATAGGCATTTATCATGCAATCTATGACGTTTATCTATGTCTTAAATGCACTTGACATATCTTATAGTTACACTATTTTAGTAGCTTATTTGTAGTTGCTTCCCTTATGTGTAAACTTAATCCAATAGTATCAAGATTTACTTTCTCTGAACAAAACAATCATAGTCATTCATTTAATTTCAATTATACTGTATTTCAAATATTGCCTTAGTTTCCATCGTTATAACAAGCGACCCGTGATTAATGCCTACTTTTATTTTACAGCTAAATGTTTTGACAAAGTATATTGTGACGTCATTGTTTCAGTTTCTTACACGTGCAAAATTATTGGTTTTTGGCCCCCGGTCCCACAATCACAATCGGTCACATGATACAGTTGAAATCATAGGCAATTTGTTTCTATATATATATTTACAAGTGTAAGAAATAATTACTCGAGAAAATTATTCTTTTTTTTCACGTACAATGTGTTTTGCAGCCCTCAGCCGACATAGGGTCTTATCTTAAAGCAGCATGCCTCAAGATTCATGCGTATTTTCATGAAAATGTTAAAAATATATTAAAAAATAAACTATTGTCAAACGAACAAAGAAAGTAATTTACTCATTGCAAACGACACGTTTCAAAGTAAATTACCAAATAACGGTCAAAATATACAAAATTGCTGCTTACTGTGTAAGTCAGGCAGTACAAATATGGTAATTAATACTGCAAAACCAGTCTTTATTGCATATAACAAGTAAAATGTAAATCATTACTTAGATAACGAATATTTTTTAAGTGAAAGGTCTTTTACTTAAGTATTTCAAATATTAATAAAAAAAACAATAAAAGAAATGTATTATTTGGACATTCAAAACATATATTGCTTCGAAAAAATATGTTACTAAGTTCTAAGTGATTCAGTATGATTATTTATACGATGAGTGATAATATTTTGTAATAGAACTTTTAATTTTATTTATTATCTATTATATGTGTGTGTATAATATTGGATAATTTATCTTACACATACCAACAACATCCATTTTCTTTCATGATGTTTTGTAACGTCTAATATCAAAAAGCTATCAACATACTTTTTTGTCGTAGAACGGACCTTCCACAATAGACCCATTCACTTTAAAATCTTAGTTCATCTTGATTGTCTTGAAAGGCTTCGAATAATTTAAAGGCTTATGGGTCACTTTAATGTAATAAATAACTAAAAACATGTAATATCAAAAAACAAATTAAATAAACGTTCCTTGATATTTTACCATTGTTTTGAAGTAATGGATTCGTATCGTTCTCATTTGAACAGGAAGGCTCACAAATGCCCCTACTATTCTTTTTTTCTCGTGCTGCAAATGGATACCAAGCTGGAAAAAAACATGAAATAATAATAATTTTTGAGGTTCGGATCGGAATGTCCGTCCTGAGGATACCCGCTCATGGGCGGTAACCTAGCTTCCTGAGTTACCACCCATGGGCGGGTACCCATGAGAAGGATATTCCTATCGGAACCGCAAATACATTAATGAATTTTTTCTTGCATATGTTAAAGCGTATACCTCAGTTAGATATTTTTGCATAGAAATTGATTAATGTAATTTCATCCAACACTAATTCCATACAATAGCGTATGATTTTACAGCTCCTTCCATAGCGGCGAAATGACGTAATCCTTTGCACACAGTTTCATTCTAAAATGCAACTAAATGACGTCATTTTAACACGGTTCATTCTTATAATGCGCTTAAATAAACAAAATTTAATGTAAATGATGAAATTTCCGGCATGGGTAAAACTAACGGTAACACCAGGCTGATATTCAAAAAAAATCCTGCTTTCTGTAAGGTTCTTTCTGTAATTATTCCATGTCAGTTTGTTCTGCACAATCTTCCAAATTATTAAATACTACGTTACATGAAAAACTGGAATTATCATAGCAATTGCAACGAAAATAAATTGTGATCAGCATAAACAACTGAAAGTTTTTATACTGCTGTATTGTCTAATGGAAACATAGATATGTGCAGCATTTTCTTTTAAGTTGCCGATTGAGTACATAATTGTTAAGATTTTCGTGTTATATGCGAGAATTGTCCGGAAAGTTCATATACTATTTTTTACAAACAATACAAAACCATAACAAATTTTGCCAGCAAATACATTCATATCCAACAAACATATTTAGAAATAGCTTCTGTGCTCTGATCAATTTTTACTGTTAATACACTCGGAAGCATTGTATACATTTACGCAAAAAAGCTGAAACAATTTAATAGCAGAGTAATAAATTCTATGTCATTTTCTGTTTTCCTTCACTTGTTACATGTTTCACATGTCTGTTTTGTTATTTGTTTTGAATATATGCATGTTCTGTGGTGTCTACCTTATTAATTTGTTGTTAACGGTTAGTATTTTCTCAACCCCCACTCGCATTTCATTACCCCCTCGCCAAAATCACCCTTATAGCCCTTGTCCCTCTAATACTCATATGGGCCCGTTTTTATTAATTTACACATAAATTGTCCCTCTCCTCCTTTGGCCGCCTTATTGTCCACTCCCGGTTTTGGTTTGGTGCCTACCGAGCGCCCTGTTGTGGTAGCTTGGGTGTGTCGGGGCTCATCCTGTGAACGTTGCCTTTGCCTGGTTGATTTTTATTCTAGTCGTTCGTTATATTTTCGATTTCCTCAGTTTTATAAAAGTCTTATTTTTTAACAAAAAAATAACTTTTGTAAGTTCTCTTACCATAAGAATAATCATAGTCATTTGATTCCTTTGTAAATGCTCGTTCTGATTCCTTCCTGTTACCTGAAAGACGGATTTGAATTTGGAACATTGCTCCTATCTATTTGATAATTAATGCAATATTCATTATAGAAACCATTACAAATAAATATGATTCTATTAAAATTCTAAAAACAACTTCTAAAGAGGTCAATTCTCTATTTATTTCAAAATTGTACTTTGTAATTAAATAACGAATTGTGCATCTTCACCTTTATTTTCATTATTCATTTCCCATACTCTAGAATACATGTATTCACTTTCACTTGGTCTATCAAAACATCTCGAAATCCCTGAAAAAGTCAAAGTCAAATCAATGTGTAAAAAAATATAGAATGCATAAATTATTCAATTCATGAATACTTTCTTAAAATGTTAAATTCATTATATATGTGCTGTCTGTAATTTAAAATATTATCGGTTGAATTAACGATGTCAACGGTTTGACTGAACATTTGGACTAATGCAGATGCTCTCTGTATTAATAATAGCATTCTGTTAATTGTTTTATGGGAAATATTTTTATAAATCTGATTCTTTAGATAAAACACGCATATGTTTATTATAATTTTTAAGTGATTCGCTACTCACTGTTTTTGACAGAGCCACAACTTCCAAAGCCACTGTCGCTGTTTAAATATATGAATTTATTTGCTTAGTACTGTTAAAAACATTCTTTTACATAATTGTGTTAAAAAGTAGGTCTAAAGACAGTTAAATATGATCATAAAATGTATTCTTGATTATAACCCATGCATATATATTAACCTGGAATAATTGTTCCGATATAAAGACAATTCATGACGCTGCTTCAAAAAGACGGCAGTGTCCGATTGTAACCTCAATAATACAAAGACCGTTGCATCATTGAGGTAACAATCTGATAATGATGATACAAAAACATAAACTTCATTAAGGGTACAATCTGATACAGGAAATACAAAGACAATGGCGACATTGAGATAACAATCTGATAATGCTGATACCAAAACAGTGCAAATAAAGACGGTAGCATCATTGAGGTTACAATAACTGATGATGCAGTTGTGTCATTAAGCATACAATCTGATGCTGATGATATAAAGACGGTAATGTTTTTGAGGTAACAAACTGAATCTGTTGATACCAGGACAGCAGCGTAATATACAGTAAATAATAATCTCAACCTGATAACAAAATTAGGTAACGATATAATACTAATGACACAAAGACGGTAGCGTCGTTGCGCTGATGATACTGAGAATGTTACGTCATTAAGCTTACAATCTGAAACTCATAATAAAAAGACGATAGCATTGAGGTAAACATCGGTTACTGATAATGCCAGGAATGTATCGTCACTAAGGTTAAAATCTTATACTTATGACTCATACACGGTAACGTAATTGAGGTTACAATCTAATACTGATGATAGGAAGAAGGTTATGTTGAAAGCACAATCTAATAATGATGTCACAAAAAAGGTAGCGTACTTGGGGTTACAATCTGAAACTGCTAATAATACAAAGACGGTAACGTCATTAAGTTACAATCTGATAATGATCATACAAAGACTTAAGCGTCATTGTGGTTACAATCTGATACTGCTGATAATACAAAGACGATAGCGTCATTTAGGTTAATATCTGGTGCTGATGATACAAAGACGGTAGTGTCATTTAGGTAACAAACTGATACTGATAATACCAAGATTAGTAAGTAATACAGATTACAATCTGAACCTGATAGAACAAACATAGAAGCGTCACTGAGGTATCGATCTAATACTAAAGATGCAAAAACGTTAGCGTCGTTGAGCTGTTGTTAAGCTTACAATTTGAAACTGATAACAAGGCGATTGCGTCATTTAGATAAAAATCGGATACTGATGATACCAGGAATGTATCGCCATTAAATTAAAATATGGTACTGATGACTGAAAGACGGTAACGCAATTAAGGTTACAATCTAATGCTGATGATACGAAGTAGGTTACGAGTTTTAGGTCACAATCT